AAGGTATATAATTGAAATAGAAAAATATTGAAAGATGAGGCCATGTCTGTATTATAAAGTTCTTAATGTACATACTTTACTATTTTAACAAAGTCAGAATCAATGTCAGTTTATCTTTCTTGGGAAATTATGTTTTAAAAAGGGACAAAGTCATTTAATAGAATTTTTAGCTAAGCTATTCATATAAACAATAATGTTAAGTTATAAAATACAGACATTAAAATGTTACATTCCATAGCTAATGGAAAGAGCTAATTATTAGTACTGACTTAAGATATACTACCTAAATTATACTGGGGGTTTCTATTGATTTTTTTAATAAAACGTTTCTTATACCAAAATCAATATAGCATTTTAATGGACACTTTGTGGGGCTGGCCATGTGGCCCAGCGCTTAAGTTTGACATGCTCCACTTCAGTAGCCCAGGATCCCAGGAGTGGTCCTATACCACACCATGTAGCAGTGACCCATATATAAAATAGAGGAGGATTGGCACAGATATTAGCTCAGGGCTAATCTTCCTCAGGCAAAAAAAAAGATTGGCAACAAATGTTAGCTTAGGGCTAATCTTCCTCTGCAAAACAAAAAAAAAAGCACCCACACTTTGCCCAATGTGTGCCAATTCTCTGTATAGGATACTCAGACACTGATCCTTCCATTCCTCTCTTGGTTCCACTGTAAAGTTGTTGATGGAATGTTAATTCCTTGAAAACCTATAGTATACTTAATACTCCATAATTAATGGTGTAATCAATTATTATGTCACCAAGACAAAGATTAACACATAACAATATGTGGCGTCTGAGGTTTTTTATCTTTTAAAATATACAAATCCACAAACACAAATCCACTTGTAGTAGTTAATCCATGTTTTTGAAGGACAAAAAAAAAATCCTCCTCCATTTGCCAGGGAGGAAGACTGAGTTCAAATCAAAGAGCTAGGGCCTCTTCCTGGGTAGACCTCATAATTTCTAACCATTGACTGCTGTGTGCATCCCATTTGCCCATTTCTTGAGTGAAAGTGTATATTGCATTTTTCCTATACCTGAGTGTGTGGGAACCAGAAACCTTGTTTCTTTCCTTCTCAAGTCTTCAGATCAAGAGTAAGTGTAACAAGGGAAAGGACGGAAGGAGCCCTCTATTCCTGGCTCTCATGTAGATTTCAAGTTCCTGGGTAATAAACTCTAGCCTGTTGCTATATTGGCGTGAGATTTTTGTTTGCATTGGGAGAGAAGAGTGGATATTTCATGTGGGAGGAAACAAAATTTGTTGTCAAGGAAAAGAATGTGTCTATGTAAAAATATAGCCACAAATACTTGGGTACACCTCTTATTAAGAGGCGATGTCTGTGTTCCCCACCCTACCCTCAAGCCCTGCCACCGCTCAAAGTTCAAAAGGCTTGTGCTTTCTTTGACAATGAAAATGGTATGATGTAACTTCCAATGCTAGGTCATAAAGGGCCGTGAAGTTTCTGCCTTTTTCACTAGAAAACTCAGTTTTAGAGCCTATCGCCACTGCTCTATGGCAATACCAACACCACAAGGAGAGGCCACATGTGGGCATCAGCCGGACTTAGGACTGATCTGCAGTCCCAGCTGATCCTAGCCTTTGTTTCATGAATTTTACCAGATGCTAGACAATATGAATTTCACTTTGGTGAGGTCTGCATTTTTCTGGCCGGCAGTAAAGTTTCTTGCAAAGCACCTTGATCCTTTGAAGGCTTCTCGAAAACTCGGTCTGGGCAAGAATGAATTCGCTTCTTCCCTAGGGCAAGCTTAGCCGGACAATTCAGACTCTGACTTTTCTTGGATCCCTACTGACTATAGTGACTCACAAGTGTTCCAAGAGGAATTCACTTTCTGACTGTTCCATACTTGGAAGTCTCCTAGCCCTGTCTGAATTCTTGGAAAGTTTGAATTTACATTTCCTCCTTATTCTTTGCTTGGCCTTCTGTATTTTCACCTTACGCATGCAGAACTTAATATTAGCATCAGACTCCGGGGAATGTTGGGGCAAACTTCTGGAGCGCTCTCATCACCTGAGTTTCTCTGCAAAATTACTCTGCCCAGCAAATTTCCGTGGCCTCAGCTTCTCCTAACCCCTGTCTCTGCTCAACTCAGAAAGACCTCCAGGCTTTTCTTGGCTTTCCCCTTCCTACACAGTGGGCTGGAAAATGCTTCCAGGCAGAAATTTGGGGCAACTGTGGGGCTCTCCTCTCGTCTCCTTTCTTTCAGGGAGCACAGTCTTCTGTTCTCCAATATCTGAAAAAAGTTATTTCATATAATTTGTCTTGTTTTCCAGTTGTTTACAGTAGGAGTGGAAGTTCAATTGCATTGCTCCTTCATGTCTGGAAGCAGAAGTCTCCATCTGACTTTGATAATTATCTGTACAATAGGCATAGGGCTGTGCATAAAGGAGGAATATGCCCCCTCACCGTGTATTAAATGATACAATAATCATAGTGGTGTCAGCATTTTTGAAAATATTGCTTTATATATTTTATTCTTCATCAAATAGTGCCAGTGAAACTACTAAAAGTAAACAACATTTATTACTACCATACCCTTGGAGATTCCAGTAATTTCAGAAATTTGACATTTTTTAATTTTTATGATGATGTTAATGTGAAATATAAATCTAAAATTCAAATACTTGGTTTATATTTAATGTAAAATTTAGATTAAAATTTTAGACTACCAGATATCACAAGCTCAAGAAAGGAGAGATGCTAGGGCTGAAGAAGTTTCTCTATTTGACAAACAAGTAAAGAGTGAGAGGGGGAAAAAGTTTTTTGTTGTTTTTTTTTAAGAGACAATTTTAAACTAACTCATAACGGTCTTTCTTCCATCTAGGAATAAAATAACACTTCACATCTATGCATAAATATCTATGCTGTTCACTTTGATGTGTACCTTTTTTGAGGCAAAATCTATCGTATTTGCATAGGCAGAGTTGGGAGGGCTGTCAAAAATAGTGTCAAACAGAAATACAAACAGAAACCTCAGCTCGGGAATCACACAAGTATTTTCATATTTAGTTAGTGTCACAAAATGATCACAGTCATACTGGCTGTACCTGTATAGAAGGGATACCTTCTTATACCTGTAAGAAGGCTGATGGATTCTACGTTTAAAATTATGGCTAGTTTCAAAACAGTAAATATGTACTTCCCTGAATAAACTCTTGACAATTCCCACAAGGCACTGCTCTGCTCTTTGATGTTTCCTCCTGGCTGCTTTCAACAAATTTGATTTTTTTCTGCTTCTTGATGCCCTAATTTTTGTACCTCTATTTATGATCCCTCACTGATTTAGTTAACCTTAGACAGCAACCAAAATTGAGCTGTCAGAGCCAAGGACTGAGTAACAGCTAGGAAAACCAAAGAAAACAAAGGGCAGCAGATCCTTAAAAAAAGTGGACTATCCAATGAGGAATCCTTCAAGAAATAGAGAATTCTTACCATGGAAAACTGTGTCAGTACTTTCCATAACTCAGGAATACTTTCCATTTTTTTTTTTTTTTTTTTTTTGAGGAAGATTAGCTCTGAGATAACTACTGCCAATCCTCCTCTTTTTCCTGAGGAAGACTGGCCCCGAGCTAACATCCATGCCCATCTTCCTCTACTTTATACATGGGACGTCTGCCACGGCATGGCTTTTGCCAAGTGGTGCCATGTCCACACCTGGGATCCAAACCGGTGAACCCCGGGCTGCCGAGAAGCGGAACGTGCGAACTTAACCACTGTGCCACCAGGCTGGCTGGAGGAATATTTTCCATAACAAATTCTGGGTACACTTGTTTGGCTGTCCTAGGAAATGCAAGCATACTGTCTCTTGATGAGAGTATTTTGTTCAACATCTTAGAAGCAATTACCCAAGTTGGACTTCATCTTTTGTCAGTGCACAGCATACAGAGAAACAATGATAAAAGGCATTGGGCATTCTAAATTTAATGTGTGCTTCATTCTCTAAATCATGCACCCCTTTTTTTCTGAAACGTACATTCCAAACTTCAAACCTTAGCTCTATCAGGAATGATCAGGATCTCGTAAGACACAGAAGATACAAGAGAATTGCTCTGAATTCAAAGAGAAATTTGAAGACTGATATGAAATTTGAATTGAGGAAGATACCAGCATTTACAAAAGAAGCTATTTTTGGATATGTGAATTTTAGCAAAATTATATACAAAAAACATTAGTACTGAAACATGAGTTTCTTATCTGCTAGAGTGAGGAAGTTCAGTTGTGGGCTTTGTAGACAGAAGACCTTTCCGTGAACTGATAGTTTTCCTTTCCAACCACCACCCAATCTCGTAAAATACAATAAATACGATTACTGATTAGACAGTATCATTGCCACAACTATTAGTATTGCTAATAGGGGACCTATGTTTTAGTATGCTGTGCTGTCACTCTAGTAAAATATTTCCGGGTGTGATTGATTTACCATAAGAGGTAATAGAGCGCAGTAGTGAAGAGCTCATGGTCTGGATCCAGACTGGACTCAAATCTTGGCTCTAAATTACCAGCTGTGTGATTTGGGGTACATCAGTTAATCCCTCTGTGCCTCAGTTTCTCTTCAGCAAAAAAAAAAAAAAAAAAAAAAGGAGACTGTAACATTATTTAGTTCATTGGGTTTCCTAGAAAGGTTACATATATAAAAGTGCTTAGAACAGGACCTGGTAAATCCTAAGTACTGTTGAGTTTCCTTCTATCATTATTATGCTGCTGCTGCTGCTTTTATAGTTATCATTCTGATGAAGAACGACCAGAGTTTCATCCTGCCTTGTTGTGATTATTAATGAAGATGCCATTGAAAAATCACGAAGGAGCATGTTGACGGTGGCCGTGGGTTTCAAGAGGCGACGATCAACGGGGAGATCCACGCTCGCACCCCCGGGCCTGGCGCGGGCAGGGGCGCGGCGCTCGATTTCCTTCCCTGCCTCGGCGGGGCCGCTGCGCGCATGCTCCGTGCGGCTCGGCCCTCCGCTTTGATTGATTTGCTCCGGGCGGGCGGCCGCGGCGACCCGGGCCTGGCTCCGGGATGGGGAGCGAAGCCCCTGGGGCGGCGGCGGCGGCGGCGCTGTGAGGAGCAGCCCGGGGGAGGCAGCTGCCGCTCGTCGGTGAGTATCCGGGAAGCGCCATCATGGCGTTCCGTAAGAAGAGCCCCAGGAACCCCCCAGTCCTGAGCCACGAATTCATCCTGCAGAATCATGCAGACCTCGTCGCCTGCGTGGGGATGTTCTTCGTGCTGGGGCTCATGTTCGAGGGAGCAGCAGAAGCATCTATCGTGTTTATTACTCTGCAGCACAGCGTTACCTTCCCCGCGGCAGAAGAACCAGCCACGGACTTAAAGGTCCTTTATCATTATGGCATCAAAGATCTGGCCACGGTTTTCTTCTACATGCTCGTGGCAATCATCATTCACGCCACCCTTCAGGAGTATGTGTTGGACAAAATTAACAGGCGAATGCAGTTTCCCAAAGCGAAACAAAGCAGATTTAACGAATCTGGTCAGTTGAGTGCATTCTACCTTGTCTCTTGTATTTGGGGCACGTTCATTCTGATCTCTGAAAACTGCCTGTCGGACCCCACTCTCTTATGGGAGGCGCATTACCATAACGTGATGACGTTTCAGATGAAGTTTTTCTATATCTCACAGTTGGCTTACTGGTTTCATGCCTTTCCTGAACTCTACTTCCAGAGAACGAAAAAACAAGACATCCCCCGTCAGCTTGTCTACATTGGGCTTCACCTCTTTCACATCGCCGGAGCCTATCTCCTGTACTTGAATCATCTGGGACTTGTTCTCCTGATGATGCATTACTTTGTTGAATTACTTTCCCACATTTGCGACCTGTTTTATTTTAGTGATGAAAAGTACCAGAAAGACATTTCTCTGTGGGCAATTGTGTTTATTTTGGGTCGACTTGTGACTTTAATTGTCTCCGTGCTCGCTGTGGGCTTTCACCTGGCTGGAGGGCAGAATCGGAATCCCGATGCCGTCACCGGAAACGTGAATGTGTTGGCAGCCAAAATTGCCGTTCTGTCGTCCAGTTGCACTATCCAAGCCTATATAACATGGAATTTATTTAATGTCCAGCTTCAGAGGTGGATGGAAGAAGATGCTACTCTTCAGGCCCCAAGTGTGAAGAAGAAACGGACTAAAGGCAGGTCTTCCAGAAAAGGAACAGAAAATGGGGTGGCAACGTCAAGTAGAGTAGACTCTCCGCATAAGAGGAAAGAGAAATCTTCATAATGAATGACAAGCTAATTGACTAATGTCCCCAAAGAAGTCTGCTCTTTACTATATCTTTCTGCTCTAGAGATTTTTCTGTTCTTGAAAATAGTTTGTGCTGTCTTTAATTTTTGCTATGAACTGTGTAATGTATTTTTTTAAAGACAGTTGAGAGGAGAGTGATTATTATGATGGGGAAAAAATATTTGGTTTAGACTAAGCTACTCGTCGCCAAAATGTTTTAGGGATCACCACAACATTTTTTTTTTTTTTTGGTTTGTTTTTTACCTATCAACATTTTCCTAATGATTTGTAGAGATAACTACAAAATTCCACGTATCAGTGATACAATTTCTTGCTCCCGCCAATCTTTTATAACATTAGCAAGATGGTCTCTTTAGAAATGTCATATTTGTAGTGTTCCCTTTCAAGATAAAATAGAAATATTAAGGTGGAAGTCATATTCATTAAGTTTGTAGCGTTCTCTCATTCTTAGATTTTTTTTTACAACTGGAGAAAAGATTTGTAAAACCACCAAAATAATGATGTGTTTTATAGGTAGTGGTTGTTACTGTTACATCTCCATTAAAAAAAGAAAATACTAATGGCTAACATAAGTGGAGATTTATTGCCATATACTGAATCAAAATATCTTGAATTAATATCAAAGTATTGCTGAAGAGGTAAAATCATTCATGTTCTTTTGAAACACTTGTAAACTGGAAACCAGAAAATTAAATATTTACTGTAAAAAGGAAATCAGTTTTTTTAACCATTATTCTTAATGAGATTTGTTATGTTTGTTGTCCACAACATCTTAGAAAAATATTGTTTAATCTGTCAATTATTGGAAAAATAATGCTTACTTGATTTATATCTATAAAAAGAATGTCAGCTAATTACATGTGTAAAAGATTTAATGCACTAACCTTAAACAATTTGAAATTCAAGTGGATAAATAATCTACTGAAAGACTTTTGAAAAACAATATTATAATTATAGCTGCGCTTCCATCTTTAATTGGGAAACATTTATCTGTATGGGACGTATTCCTATTTTGGATACATATATGTAAATTGTATCTTTATGGAAGCCGATAGAAACAATGAGCTGTAGTGGGTGAGTATTTATTTGTCTCCTCTCAGCCTTCATTTTGTTTTCATTTCCATAATGTGAGTGTTTATATTTTTTTCAGGAGAAAATGCTTTAAAAATATGCTAGGATATATTTCCTATTCCTCTATTTTCTCCTGCAGTATTTCTTGTGACTCTGCTTTTGACTGCCTTCTATTTGCTTTGTTTTAGGTAATTCATCTTTTCCAATCAGGGGGTCTCTCAGAATTAAACTTAGTGTGCTTGTGTTGCAAACCAAAGACAGAAGAGCCATGCCTGGCAAAGCTTTCTTTTCTATTCTGTCTGCTTTGAGAGGTATGTAATAAAGCGAGATTGGGTTTTTTTTTGGCTACAGAATTACTCCTACTATTTTTTTTTCTCAGTTACCTAATACTGTAGTTTGGGTAGCACATGCTCCGAGGGCCAAGTTACAATGCCTCCATTTTAACCAACCATTGTGCAAAGATTTTCATCTTCTTGTCTGAGAGAGCGGTCTTTCTAACTTCCCTCACTTTTAAAGAATTCTAGCATGTTCTTTGTAACCCCACTCCTGGTAACAAATTTCTTATCCGTTCTATACTTCATTTGCAAGTAAGAGCAAGCCTGATTCAAACTGGCAAATAACTGCAAGCAAATTCTGTCCTCACATGACTGACAGTGCCATGAATTAAATTCGACTTGACATTAAACATGATTAGGGCCCAGATCGATTTCCCAGGATTTTCTTGGCTCTGTCCCCACTCAGACTGACTTTCTTCTTGTGGGCAGACGACTACAACTGTTCTAGGGTTCATGTCTGCACACCACGTGCATGGTAGAGGGGAAGAGAGGAAACCTGATCTCTAGAATTTCCAAAACTGAGAGTTACCTTTAGTGAACTCATTTGATGAAGACATGTGCTGGGTGATTATTGTTTGGTTATATGCTTCACCTGTGCAAAAAGGCAAAACCCCTTTCTTGGAAAATATGGGTTCACAAGCAGTAGCCAGGTTATTGAAGAAAGAAAGGGGTAAAGATGCTGCATATGTCTCAACTATTTGTAAAAGTTCAGTAAATGTTGCCAGAAAACAAATATATGCCAAATAATTATGCAAGCCATGCTACAAATGAAATTCAGCAGAATACAAATTGCCAAGTCTCTTCCTTTTTAAAATTACATCCTGAAAAATTCATGCTGTATCTCCATGTGACAATTTGGTTTCTGTCACAAGGGACTACATGGAAACAGAATTTTCATAATCACCCAAAGTCCGTAGTTTACAGTAGGGTTCACTCTTGGTGGTGTACATTCTATGAGTTTTTACAAATATGTGATGACATGTATCCACTATTACAGTGTCATACAAAATAATTTCATTACCTAAGAGTCCTCTGTGCTCTGCCTCTTCTCCTTCTCTCCTCTGTATATTGTTAAGTACTATACAAAAGTATGGCACTGGGCTTTCCCTCATGTCCGGGTAGGAGGCAATAGAAAATTCAAGTATAGCAATACTTCCTCCTCTACATCTAGCTGATTCTTTCTAAGGAACCCTTTCCCTGAATGTATGAGTTATTGTTAACAAATAATATGCATTGCAAATACATATGTGACTATACTTAAAGTACATAGAATTCTGAATAAATGCACACTTATTTTAAAGAGTTATTAAATTCATAGTAACTGTGGGCTCTTTTTTTACATAAATGACAGCAGGTATGAATGATATCATGTGAAAACCCTTGAAAATATATTGATTCTGAATATAGGTCCTTATACTTGAAACATTTGAAACCATTGGTCTGGGTAAACTATATCAAGAAAAAAATTCAGCTCTTATTATATCCAAAATTAAATTTCAGACTAAATGAACTAAGCATTTGTTTTTGGAAAATCAAAGAGCATCAACAACCATTTTAGTTATGAGTACTAGACAATTTCCTTGCTCTTAGGTAATATGTAGTTTTCATCATTGCCTTATTAAATAATAGTGTCTCACAGGTGGTAGTTATTCAGAATTAGTTGAACTCAGTTTTGTTAAAACAAATAAGCAAACAAAACTTAGAGTTTTCTTTTGCTATCTTTTCTAATATTGACTTCCTCTTTTATTACATCCTTTTCAAGTTTTAAGTAGTAATTATCTATGTATTGCTTGTTTATTGCCTGCATTCTATTACAGTTTGAGTCTGGGGTCATGTATCTTTACATCACTAAGGTAAACGTAGCATCTAGCACAATGTTTAGTAGAGTGGAAGCATGCAATAAAAATGTGTTGACTGACAACTTAATGATTTGGGGGTGGAGTACACATATGTAAACTTTAATAATTTGTTCCTAAAGCACTTAAACGAAAACCCTGGCTCTAAACATTAGACTTTTATTTAGAAATGGCTGCATGTCGTGTGTCATTCTAATGGCATTTGTGATTTGCCAAACTCTATGAAATTCGAGTCCTTTTTCTGAGTGAAGAGTTAATATCTTCTAAATATGCAGCTACTAGTAGAATCCCTTCTATCTGAATCAGTTGCTCCACATCCTCAACAGCACTTCTGTAATAGTGAAGAACAAGAGGACAATCCTATTTGAAAAGATGCAAAAGACCAAGGCAGGGACATTTTTTTTGCAGGAGTTGAAATCAAGATTTATATTGGTCAGTAATATCTGATATCCCTTTTAGACATCCTAACCTGCTCTTGGAGCTCAGAGGAGTGGTCAAAGCTGAAGACATAAGTTTGAGAGTCATCAGCATAAAGACAGTTTTTTAATCAAGGCACTGAACAAGGTCATCTAAGGAGAAGATATAAACAGGGAAGAGAAGAATTTCTACTGCTTGACCTTGGAGCATCCCAACAGATGGAAATAAGACAGTGGAATGAGAGCCAATAAAGGAGACTCACTGATGTCTGATGTGGAGGAGAAGGGCCGAAAGGACAAAAGGCCACTCATTGTGGAACCCACACCTGAGTGACGGCTGGTGAGGTAGGCGAAAACAAGGGTAAACAGTGTTGCATAACCCCAAAGAAAAGTATATTAAGAGGATGAAAATATCAATTACTTTCAATGCTATTGAGAGTTCAAGTTCCTTGAGATTAGAAATTTAAAGATATCTGGACTTGGCAACATGTGGATCACTGGAGACGTAGGTGAGATCAGTTTCAGTGGAGTTATGGGGATGAAAGCCCTATTGGAGTGGACTGAGGAGAGAATGGGAGATGAGGAGGGGTGACATGATATTACAAATACTTCTCAACAAATGTCTCTTGAAGTGGAGCAGAGAAATGGAAAAGAAGTAGGCATCCCCATATGCAATAAACAAAGAAGGGTGTGGAGTCAAAAGAGTTGGTTTTGTTGTTAGTGTTGTAATTGTTTTTAGGATGATTATAGAATACTTGTATATTTGTATACTGAAAAAGCGAGGAGATGACAGAGGGGAGAAGGATGACAACTGCAAGAACAAGGCCAAATTACACGAGTCCACTGAAGAAAGGCATGTAGGACTTCCTGATTTGAAAAGAGCACTTTTAAATTAAATAAATCTCCAGTTTGCATATTTTCAGAAAACTTTTGGAACATCTGCATACAACAGATACATACAAGGATGTATATATATTGTCTTTATTCTATCTTATTGCATTATAGTAGGTTTAATTAGATTTGTAATGACTACCATTAAAATCTGAGCAGAAGTAATAGTATAAAGTATTTGAAAAGATGATATTAGTTGACCTTGTCCTTTTTTTCCTATGTGTGCTGTTCTAACTTAAGCAATTTTTTTCTCTCAGAAAATACAAGTAAAATCTGTTCGATGAGAAGACACTGAGCTCAGCATTGGCACTCGGCCTCCCTCTTTGGCAAACCTATTGGCAAACAATTCAATATCATTCTGTAGGGGTTGGATGGATGCTAGATCTCTGTCAGTCAATTACAGAACTTGTCAACCCAACAGAGGGTGATTGTCCCTAAAGAAGACTAAGTTGCCATAAAAAAGGTTGCAAAAATGTGTGCAAATATAATTTATTCAACTAAAGCAAAACTCATCACTTCTATTAGCATATATTTCAGATTTCTCAAATCCTAGGATACTCTGGATGCTTAGGAGTCCTCTTAAATTCTAATAATACAGCACCTAACCGTTTCTCAGAACAGCAAATATATGTCACGTTGAGATTTTAAAGTTTTCTTTTCTTTTAACACAATTCTAGGATTCCATGGGTTTCATGGTTGTTTGTGCTGCTAGGCCATCTATTCAGAAAAATTCTAGGAACCAACCACCAGATATCTTTAAACTCCTATCAGAAACTAGCTTATGCCAAATAAACTCAGACCCTGTACAATGCCTTTAACCATAGAATTACTGCTTCAATTTTTTTGGGGGGCCGGGGATTAGCCCTGAGCTAACACCTGCCAATCCTCCTCTTATTGCTGAGGGAGACTGGCCCTGACCTAACATCCATGCCCATCTTCCTCTACTTTATATGTGGGATGCCTACCACAGCATGGCTTGCCAAGTGGTGCCATGTCCGCAGCCGGGACCCAAACCGGCTAACCCCAAGCAGTCGAAGCAGAACGTGCGAACTTAACCTCTGCACCACTGGGCTGGCCCCTTACTGCTGGAATTTTTATGTACTGTCACCACATTCCAAGTTGGAGTTGAAGTCTACTGTGGAGGGCTGCTGAAACTGGGTGAAATCTAATCTCTTCAAATTTTATATCCATCTATACTAATAATTAAAACCTATATTAAAAAATGTATATTTATAAGATAGAATTTTTTTTGGCATAGCTCCTTATATCTTTAAAATACCTAAAGCAAATTTAAAAATGTTATATCCAACCTGTGTATACCAGAGTCAAAACTGTAACCAAATCTATAACTTATAGGGGAAAAAAATCAAATACACAATGATGAAAATGCCAGCAAGCTGAATTTCAGCAAATACTGCATTCATTTATGTCCTCAGCAGATAAAGAAAAGATACTTGAAAGTACATATCTCTACCTATAGTGCACAGATATTTTTTTTTTGCTTTATTTTGCCTCTTGGACCTAATTTTTTTCTCTCCATCCCTACTTTCCAACAAATTCAGATGATACGATGGATTTCAAAAGCACCAGGTGTTCATTCGATTCTGAGAAAACAGGATATCTGAACTCTTCTTTTTTAATTGAAGTTTTTATCTTTCCATTCTAATTATCATGACTAGGACTAAAGAGAGCTAATGACAATTTAAGAAAAAAAAAAAAAACAGGAAAGAGAAGAAAAATATGCTTTATTGAAAATCCACACCAAGAAGATAAAAGCCTACTGATGATTTTAATCAACTTAATTATCCATGTCAAAAATGCTAATTCATAATAAAACATCCAAAGGATTCTAAGATTCATTAACATTTCACTACATTTTGGAGGTTGAATTTTCGATATTACTATGTGTTCACAAAAGGGAAATATTTTGAATGTGATTTCTCCCATCTGAAAATAGCTTATAAGTCACACTCTGTCTCATACATAAATATCAGAATACTCAAATAAAATGACATAAACTTTATGAATAGCTGAGGTTCAAATTTTACCCAGCATGTCTGATAAAAATATGTGACTGGGTGGAGGGAGGGAGAAAATGAGTCTGAAAGATGACAAGAAAAGAGTCCACAAGGCTTTCATGCACCTTTGGGAAAGTTTCTTAGGTAACTGCTAACAGTGCATCAGAGTCACGTGGACCCGTCACTCCAGGTAAAACAGAGTGACTGGTACTTGAATTTGCTCCAACTCCCATGATAACAAAGCTCTGTGAAATGAAAGGACGGTTCTACTAAACTCTTCAGGCCTGAACGTCTCCTGTGTTGTCTCTCTAAAGCAGCGTCCAATACAGGCTGGGGAGTGCTTTGTCCACCTTAAGAAGAAAAGTGAGTCTCAGCTGCCAAAATAAAATCCCATTCCTGGAATATTTATTGGGTGCTTAGTATATTCCAGCGCTGGTTATAAGCAGTGGAGAGACAATGATAAATGATATGCTCGGGGTCAGGTTGTAGTCAAGTGGCATCTACAGCTTGAGAGCCAGCCATGGTGCAATATCCAGAAGCTGCCCGGAAGGGCAGAGTCAAGGGACCTCAGAAACAGAACAGAGTGGTGGAGTGTGCATGGCCTCTGTCCGGGGTCCAGCGGCAGTGCAGAGGGGAGCAGCTCTGCCCAAGTAACATCCTGACTTCAGCAGAGCCTTGACTGGTTGCGCAGAAGAATCAGGTTGACGTGCTGGGCACTGCTGTGTGTGCAGCCCCAGCAGCAGCGTGGACAGGAGTGGCGGGGTGGTAGGAGCCAGAGTTCCCCAGCCTGTAGAGGACTCAGTGGTCTGGGTGAAAGGGCAGAGGAGGAAGTGGCACAAACCCTTGCTCAAGGGGAGCGTTCGGTGCTGACCTGTGGCACAGCCGGAATGGCAATGGAAAGGACAGCTGGAAGCAGCGTGGGAGAGCACGCGAGGAGCTGCCAGAGAGGGGAGGGCAGACTCGGAGTCAGTTGGAGTTCAGTCATTCATGGAATTCCTGGGAAAATGATGCAGTTGGTGAAGCCTGGAGAAAACAACTCACCCATTAAAGACAGTAAACACAACCCAATACCATATATCACATGGAAACCATTTTGAAAAATTCAAAAAACAAGTTTAATTTGCCAAAATATAGACAGGCTTAAGTTTAACATATGATTGTGTGAAAATAGTTGACTTCATGAAAATATTTGTAATATTTGGAAATGGGGTCACAGATATCCACCCCATACTTGTATGAAATTCTGTGACAGCTGTTTGAATCAATCCTCAGTGCCCTGATGGGAATATCTCTTTACTTTATCACTTATTATCTTCCTGCATGATTGTCCTTACACGAGTAACTAAGCCCGTCAATAGTCCGCTCATCGGAGTCACTTTTTGGAATGTGACATTATTAAAGATGTATATTCCATCCCAGGTTTAGACCTTGGAGAGAAGCAGCCATGACTGGGTCAAATGAAGGTGTCAAACAGGAATAGGTTCTGGAAGGGAAATCTATATTGAGGTGCCAGCTGGCTCTCCACTGGGGCAGTGTTATCAGGCTGACCCCCACCTCATTCAGCAGCACTGGAAATGTGCAGCTCTGCTGGCCGGCAACATGTCTCTTGCGAAGTTCTCAGAGATTGATTTTGCTTCCTGGGGAAATGCTATTTATTCGCATCTGTTTTCAAGGTTGTTAGGAAGAAAAACACTTGCCTTCCCACTGCCTACAGGCAGGCTTGGAGAATGACATTGCCGTGTCGTTTTTTAGTATTGACGTTAGTTGTCTAAGAATGTTTTCTTCTAAGTTATTCTAAAAAGAAAGATAGTTGGCATATGTTATGGAATGTTTTAAATAAAAAATCAGCTTCAACATTGACTCAAATAATTTAAACTAATTGTTCTAGATTCAAACATTAAAACATAAGGAGGAAAAAGCTCTTCTCTTTTTAGTTATTCCCATGCATTTTTGCTTAAGAAATACTTTTAACAAATTAGAAAACTCTTAGAAATGTTTTGCTGTATTTACATTGGTACTGTAAAGTACATATTTTTCTTTTACAAAATGTTTTAGTTTTTACACTATAGGGTTAATCCTCCTACTTTTGAGAATAGCCTTAAATTCTTGAAGTTACTAGGATTTCCTCTTTATTTAATTTCTCTTTTTCCCCCCAGTATATTATTTTAAAATATTGGAAGAAAAGAACAAATAAACAAATCCCCACTGTTATATAAGGGTTTGGTGAAATTAATCTGCATATAAATATTGATGCAATTAAATTATTCACAAATAATTAAGACTTAATGGAGTCTCCGTTTTCACCATTTTTCAAATCTACATTTTGTCAACTAAAAGATATACAAAATAGAGAAGCTAGAAGTTTTAAATGCTTGTAGACATCAGAAAAAATACTCAACTAAATTTAAACAGCATTATTAGAATAATTAGATTCGTTTTATGTTATTCACCAGATGCTATAAATTATTATGATATCATCAGTTTTCCTAATATATCAAGCTAGTCCTGACCCATACTATTCTGATTATGGTCATCATTGCAATTACTGTGCTGTTTTAAATTATGTATTTTGATCACTGTCTCCCTCGCTAAGCTGTAAGCAAGATGGAAACGGAAAATATTCGTGGAACCAAAATGTGTCTATTTGTAAAATGCATGTTTATTTTTCAAATTGGATAAGGCTGTTCTTATTTATCATGGAAATGGCATTATTTACCAGCAAGAAATTGGACTTCTTTAGGGTTTAGCAGAAAAGAGGTGTGATAGAATTTCAAGGAACTATTAGGATAATTGCTCCAATGATCTCCTATGGGAATTATTCCTCGTAATGAATATTTGGCAGTAGTAAACAGCTTATTGTTCATTATCTTTATCAGCTTATATTCATAATGGATTTTGGTCATTTATGGCCAATTAAACCATAAACTACTTGGAAAAGGGTAATTCAACTCTCAGCTCAGCAAATGTTAACTGAGTGCCTACTGTGGCTAACACTATGTCCAGGCCTGCGACTAATAGTGAGAAAAAGAAAAGGCAGTCCCTCCTCAAATTGAAAGAGACTAGCTATCAAGCAGGACTAATATGTGATGGTAAACAATGTAATTGAGAGGGTTGTTCATGCTATGGCAGAATCTAGTCTAGTCTTACTGGTTTAAGGAAAACCATCAAAG